AGCAATATCTTTTTTTATATTTGCTAATCTTTGTGTGTATCTTAAGATTGTTTAGATAGGTTTCTCACAACTTATCTTTCCACAAACAATCTTGTAAAATCTGTATTGATCTTCTTTATCAATATATATTTTAAATTTGAAAATTGTGTTTGTATTCATCCCCCCCTTCTACAAACTGTTTAGTATTCTTGTAGACCCTTTTGGGACCAACAAAATTACATAATCATCCCCATAGTTTACCGAAATTGCGGTTATTATCACTTGCTTTTTCAAATTACGTTAAAATCCCATCCTTTTTCATTTGCTTATACCCACCGTTCTTATATGTAACAGATGTTGAGTTTATCTGGTATATGTGAGGATATTTTGGTCAAGTTACATACTTTACCATTAACAAGCTCAAACATAAACCTCTCTATTTGATTTCCTTCATCACCATCCTTACAAAGTTACAATACATAGGCCTTGTTGCATGCTTGAAAAAGAAAACTCTCATTAGCTTTTTATGTATGATTTGGTAAGAGATAGAGTCATTCAGGTTGTTTGTTTTTTCTAATTTTTTGGAGACATTTATATCTTATTATCCTCTTATATGATAAAAGAGGTAAATCAACATTTTATTTGCCTCTTATTGTTCTCTATACCCTCAACAGTTGCGGTTCTCAATCAATCAACCTTAGTCGATCATTTCTCTCAATCATTCCTTACCAAATAGATCCTCACCTCTCTCGAATTGATGTATTTTAATATGATTTAAACGTGTCAGTGACATACTTTCATTTAAATGAATACTAATTATACAATTTAGATGTAAAATTCGTAATGATGATGACTAAATGTGAAAACTTGTATAAAACTATATATAAATTCAACACTATAATTTTCTAATAAGTAAAATATACACTTTAAACATTCTTCGTCCCATCTCGTCCCTGTTGTCATGCCTAATGTGGTGGTGTATTAAGGAATAAGAATGAATATATAGGAATAAAATATAAATCTCGACTCCCCAAATTTTCTGTTCCCTCATTATCTATAAATTATATAAGAACAATCATCTGAAAGATAATAAACAGTTACCGAACAATTATATTTCATTTTACTCCATATTACAGAAGCCTCTTAATTATTCTGACCATTAAACTATTATCTACTAAATCATTCAGCAACTACCAAACAATCTCTCGTCTTTTAATCTGTCCTTGGTTTTTTTCTCGTGTTTTAATGAAATTTTGGGGCTTCAAAATTTTTATACCTTTTAAAATAATGTGAATATTTTATTAATAATTAATATTTTAGTGAAATATTGTATTTATGTAGAAGAGGTTAAAAATGTAAATTCCGAAGAATATGCGATGGATGCTCAATAACCCAAAATACCTTGTTTTATGAATTGGGGATCTCCAATTTTCCATTCAACGCCAAAGGTCCATCTCCTCTTCTCCTTCACGCTTCTTCATCTTCCTCCTCCTTTCTCTGTCTGCAATTCAGCCGTCAAATCCACCCAATGGCGGCCATCGCCCGCCTCCTCAAACCCTCATCACCATCTTCCTCTATATCTTCTTTTTTGAAGAGATCAGTTTCCACCACCACTGCCGTTGCTTCCGAAATTGAATCTCAACATCACCAACGCCCTAATTTATCAGATCCCAAGGGTTCTAGAAACTTCCAGTGGGTGTTTCTTGGCTGTCCCGGCGTCGGAAAGGGAACCTATGCTAGTCGTCTATCGACTCTTCTCGGTGTCCCTCATATCGCTACCGGTGATCTCGTACGTGCAGAGTTATCTTCCTCTGGACCTCTTTCTCGTCAGGTATATCTTTTTTCATTGATATATTGTCTTCCTTAGATTTATTATGATTATTGATTGAGGAGTTTATCTTATGTACACCCAATGTAATTAACAAGATCATGACGTTTACGCCCAAATCCTTTTTTTGTAATCAATTTTATCTTAGCTTTGCACACGGCGGTGTAGTGTATGATTTGCTTTGTTATACATGATTACCTGTTGAATTAGGATATTGTAATTACTAATTGTTACGGATGTCTATGAGTTCTGGAGTGCCGTAGACGAAAATTCCAATTAACTTGGAGAAACAATTGGCAAGTATTGAAACGATACACCTTCTTTCGAACTTGAGAACGAACAAATTTTCTTTCTTTATTTTCTCTTGATTTCTCTCCAAACTTGAGAACATAGCAAAAGAAATTCAGGGCCTTGAGATTTACTGTTTTGAAACTTCAGATAGTGGCTAATTTTGATCCTTTGCCACGTCCTACCGTAATCATTGAGTGACGTTTGCTTAGCTTACAATGCTACCCCTTGTGTCACAACAATGGGGTGAACCGTGAACTACTGGTTGTTAGTACCATTTTGGATGTCATATAGGACTCATGCTGGTGTTTCTCGCACTACAAGGGATTTTTTTACTGCATTTGATGGACCTCAAACGGTATTAAAGTGGGGAATGGGACATAGAATGGAAGTCTTCCTAGGCCATAACAAGACGATGGTTTGTCGGTTGGTGTTTCTTTCGATCTTGTTGACTTTTTGTTGAGGGATGTTTCTAGGTGAGCTTTTATTTGGATGGAGAGTAGAAACTTCAGAAATTTGGTTGTCTGTTAAGGATTCTAACGCGCAAGTGTTTCAATTGTATTTTGTTTTTGTTTCCATGTATGTAACTAATTAGCACAGTGCATAGATAAAGAAATTGAATACGTATTAGGTAAGAAGAAAACTGATTATGAAGTGTGGTTGGGTGCCTACCGACCTTTTGAAACAACCAACTCCTCCTCCATTATACTTGGTGTCATTAATTTTTACCCCCATTTCCAAGCTTTTTCTATTTCCCATTATCGTGGCGCACCATGTCTAAACTCAAACTATGCATTTAGTTTGAGACGAAGGGAGTATTACAAATTAATAAACATGCTTGACCCTATTCTTTTCATATAGCCTTTATTGGAAAGTGATTTATCTTTGTTGAAGCTCTTAAGTGTGATAAGCTCTTGTTGTAAGCATATGATGAGTGAATGACGATCACTTCCTTGATTTTTTCTGCACTTCCAATTTATTATTATGAATATGTTTTTCAGCTTGCTGAGATAGTGAATCAAGGAAAGCTAGTTTCAGATGAAATAATATTCAACCTGTTATCAAAGAGACTAGAAGCTGGAGAAGCGAAAGGTGAATCAGGATTTATTCTGGACGGTTTTCCGCGAACTATAAGACAAGCAGTAAGTATCTTGTATTAACCATACTGAACCATATTAGCTCATTGGAACTTCTATAACTAAAATTATGTCTTTCCTATACACAAGTTGGTGATTTGTGATTTCTGAAGCTGCAAAACCCATTTTCTTCTTGTTCTCCGCTTCTCGTAGCGCTTTCTGAGTGATAATATTGCCAGAAAGGGAGAATGTTGTGTTTTTTTTTCAGGATGCATTTGCAATAGTTCCAAGATTAGCCATCCCAGATATTTTTTAAATGCTTACTCATCTGATTTTATGAGTTCATGACACAAATAAGAATTGTCTTGATTCCCTTCGACTGGAGGAACATAATCATGGTTGTGCAAAGTTTATGTATAAGTCTATATAATTAGAAGTTGGCCTTTTGGGATGATCTTATGGTTAGGAACATAGTACTATGAAGTTATATGGATCACCACTGGAAGTGGAAAAGACAAGGTTACTACACTTATTGGAACATAATTGCATACATCTCAGCGTATTGAATCATAATTATTTTTCTTGCTTTTGTTTCCTATTCCACATTTCAGTTTATTTTGCTGCAGGCGTATAATCCCATCTTTGTTATTCTATGCTTAATAAACTTGGTCTTTACTGCTCTAGATGTGATGCTTACCATTTGTTAATTCATCTTCACTCTGCTTTAACAAACTGGCACAAACCCCCTAATGAACCTTTGCTTTTCTATAAAATCAAAAGCCATCATGGAAAATAAAATTAAATCAATAATATATTCTCTCTGTTTTTTGTATATTCAGGAAATTCTAGATGAGGTGACAGAAATTGATTTGGTGGTCAATCTCAAACTAAGGGAAGATGTATTGGTTGAGAAATGTCTTGGCCGAAGGATATGCAGTCAATGTGGAAAAGGTTTCAACGTGGCCTCCATTAATGCAAAGGCTGAGAATGGAAGACCTGGAATGAGCATGGCTCCACTTCTTCCACCTTCACACTGTGCCTCCAAGCTCATTACTCGTGCTGATGACACTGAAGAAGTTGTCAAGGCGCGACTTCATGTGTACCAAGAAACGGTATTGTTCTTTTTATTTAAATTTTTAGAAGCCATTGTTACAACACTCTACAAAGAGAGATTTATTTTGGTGGAATTAAGTTTTCCGAAACATCGACACTATTTAGTTTAGACTAAGCTCATATTTTCAAGAAGGCATTGTGGGTACTTGTTAAATGTCTAAAATACCCTTAAATCCTTGAACAACGAGTATGATAGAGTAGGGAGTTTTAAATACCCAAATTAATTGCAACAACTTTTGTAGTGAGTAGTGACCAACAGGGGTAAAAAAGTAACTTTTGAAAATTTGCTTTGATGTTGCTAGATGATTCTGTAACTAACGTTTTTGGTTGAACCCATTATGACAGAATTTTGTATTTCTGTTTGGTTCAGAGTAAGCCGGTTGAGGATTTCTACAGAGATCAAGGGAAGCTAATGGAGTTCGATCTGCCTGGAGGGATCCCGGAATCATGGCCAAAGTTGCTAGAAGCCCTTAACCTTGATGACCATGAGGACGAAAGGTCAGCCGTGGCGTAGTTTAGCCGCGATTGCTCTAAAATCGATCATTATTTGCATGCGTAATCCGCATGCTGGGCAAATTTTGGAAGAAAAAGAATAATGAAACTACAGTTGGATTTTGTTGGTATGGTTTTGTTGTGAAATAACCAAACAAACATGAGGAAGCTGTCAAGGTAATGATGGCTGCTGTCTTTAAACATTTGTTGTAACATTATTTATGAGGAGAGTCAAGTAACCTCTCAGAGAGACTTCTAAAGAAAGAAAAGGGATTTCTTTTGTATTACAAAATGTTATTCTATATGAAGGGTATATTTTTAAGTATATAACCTTAGGTTAGATTTTAATTATGGGGGTGTTTGGGATTGCTTATTTAAAACAACTTATGCCTTATGTGGTGTTGAACCGGAGTTTTATAAAAAGTGTTATGGATTAGCTTATGATGGTATTAAAACGTAAAAACTGGCAAATTGTTTTTTGGTATTTGGCAAATTTTGCTTATTCATGTAAAATGACCAAAAAAGACATTTTTCCATAAGATCTTCTAACTCCACCATTGAACATTAGCATATGCAATCGAGAATCATGGAACAAGAAATTGAGAAGCGTAGAAAGTATATGGAAACATGAAATCTGGAAACTGTGGAAGGCGTATACAAGAAATTGGGAACCATGGAAACCAGGGAAGTTGAAACCGAAGAAGCTTAGAAATTGAAGGCCATGGAACTCAAAAACCATGGAAGTTGAAATAATGAACAGAGATTGTACTTGGAGAAATCGAAATGGAAAACCAAATAAAAGTTGGAGACCATGAAGAACCTTGCCGAAGAAGTCATGCAATGGATCAAGCAACTTTTGAATTATTAGGTTTAGGGTTATAAATTTGGATGTTCTTGGGCACCCATCTTTTGGGTTGTTTTGGATCCAATCGAGGAAAACGAATTATCATTGGTGGATTTTATTAAGTTTAGGGTTAAAAAGATAATTTGGATTTCAAAGCTGATAAGTTGTTTTTGATAAGTTAGAAGAGAGTAACTTATCAAAAACTTCTTATTACTGGTATAAACATTGTTTTTTTCCCCTCATCCAAACACTAAAAAACAAGTTATTACTGGTACCACACCGGAATAGATCAGTAAACAATTTAAATAAGCAATCTCAAACACCCCCTAAATCCATTATCTTCTGATAAAATATGAAGCCATTTTTTAATAGATCAAGATTTAATTAAAATCCGATTAAAAGTTATATATCTATACCCTAATAAAAATCTGCATCATAAGCCCAAAATATTTGCTTTTTAGGAGGGTGTGTAAGTTTATTTGTTGCATTTGCCGTATATAAATATTATATACTTAAAAAAAAAAGATCTGCTTTTTATACCTTCTCATTCTGACCAATCTCAAATTTAGGTCTCAGTAATTTAGTTGATTAGTCATGGTTACAAGGAAAAAATCATATTTTTTTTACTCATTTGAATAAAAAGATTTAGGGGATGTTTATCAAATACTTACTTGGTAAGCGCTTACCGGTAAAATTTAACACCATTATTCACTCACCGGATAAAGATTTTAGTCCACCAAAACGTTATCGTATGCAACAATTTATCCGGTAAGCGCTTACCGTGGTAGGAGTCGTTGCCATCGCTTACCGGGTAAGACTCTTGGTTCTTGTCTCGCTCTTATCGGGTAAGATTCTTAATCATTATTATATTCATCCGGTAAGATAATGTGACTTGGCGTTCACTTACCCGAGTAAGCGTTTGATAAACGGCCCCTTAGTTTTTGATTTCGATTTCTCCAAGTACGATATTTGTTCATTAGTTCAACTTCCATGGTTTGTGAGTTCCATGGTCTTCAATTTCTAATTTTGTAAATGAGCTTTATATTCTAGACCGGAGGGCTTTTTTGGCTTAATTGTTAAGTCATTAAAGGAATAAGTCAAGACTATTCAATTATCTTATTAAGCCATCTCAATCAAATTTTAATATAGAAAATATCTCAAAAATAAATAAAATGTAAAAAGTTAATCTATATATGATTTAAATTGAAAATAAAATCTAAAAAACTCTATTAAAAAGAAAGAAAAATATCGCCATCCGTGGGACTCGAACCCACGACCACGTGGTTAAAAGCCACGCGCTCTACCAACTGAGCTAGAACGGCTGCTTGTTTTCCTCTAGTTTATTGAACCATTTTAAATAAATAATTCTACACATATTAAAAAAGGAATATTAAACCATTTAAAATAATTTACAGTACAAAAGGAATTTATCAAGCAAAAGAGTTGTTTTTAGGGGATGTTTGATCATAATTTATAAAATGAAGTGTTTCGGTTTTATATAATATAATGAACTTATTTTTTTTTATAAGACCGGATTTTTATTCGATCAACTCGATTCGTTATTTGACATTTTCATTCTTTTGTCTGAACCAAGTAGTGTTGTAGTTTTTTTTTTGATTAACTTGGATATCCAACTCGTTATGCGAGCCAACTAATCCTAGAGTGACCATCTGTTTTGCAGATCTTTCGGAGTCACCGTATTTGAACCTCCATAGCCATAAGAGGATTTTTATTTCTCCTTTGATTTGAACCTGAGACCTCCTGATACTTTTAACATTTGAAGTCAAGCTCAAACCAATCAAACACCACCTTTATGGTTTAGTTTCTTTCTAATTGCCACCACATTATTTCATAGCTATCCAAAGTTTGCTTTACCCAAGCCTATGACCATTAGGAAGAGGTCATTGCAAGTACCGTTTAAACGTTAGGTCTCATTTGTTTTGACGGAATGTTTTTTAGTAATTTGAAGTTTAATTGAATTTCATTCTTTGTGAATATTTTATAATAAAAAATTATAAAAATAATTAAATTATTTTTTTATTAATTGATTATTACAATATAAGTAACTTTAACCTATTTTAAAACATTACTAAAAACAAATTCTATGAAATTCAATGAAATATCAACCACCTTTTTGGAATTTTCTAAATCCCATGTTTGTGGGATTCCAAATCCTCTCAAATCCCGTCAATGAAATCCCTCACAATCCTATCAAAATTCTGCAAACCAAATGGGACTTAAGAGCATTTCCAACAAATTCTCTAAATTAGAGCAAACGAGGATTTTGGACAATTTTTTGCTCAAACAAATTCTCTAAAACGGAGAAAATCATAGAGCGTAAAATTTCTACAAATTTGTATATATTTGCCCTTAATTTTAAGATTTTAGGGTTATTTGTTTAATATTAATTAATTTGTTTAGGATTAATATATTTATATTTAAGGCTAATTTTTTAAACTTTAGAATTAATTTATTACTTTTGTTAATATGTTTCTAAAATTGTTTGAAAATGAAAATGATTTTTTGAAAAAATCAAATCATTAATTACTATGAAAATATATCTTATAAAATTATATTTTTTTAAAACATAATTTAATGAAAATATTTTCCTCATGATAAATAATCTTTTTTATTTAATGATTAGTTTTTATTTTATTAAATAACTAAATCTTATTTTATTTTATATCATGGTTTGTGCTACCATTAACAATTTGATTTTTATTTTGAAGTATATAATATTTATATACGACTAATAAAACTTACACGAACTTTTCATTTTTTGGGTAAGATTAAAACCCCTAACTATTCAGGACATCTCTAATAATTAGTGACACCTAATCTTACATTAAATCCCCAAAAAACAGTGTAAAATTTGATGCAAATAATAAATCTTCTCTGGCAGGTAGTACAAAATCTTACATTTATATATAAGATTCTGGGTATATTTCTTTTTAATATCTCATCAAATGAATAGTGATTTGTTACACCAAATTTGGTGTCTGATCGATTGAAATGCTTTAGTGTGAAATTTGATACTTAAAGTTCGTGATACAGCAAGGCCGATGGCGCTTTGGTTACTAATCGATCGATCTGACGTCTAAACAATCGACATAAAAAAAACATTTCGATTAATTTAAGAAACATAAGAAAACAACACCTTTGCTGACACAAACAACACTTGATTATTATTATATATATCAATATAATGACACCCAACAAGAGTTCGAACTTTTTCTTGAAACAAACAACTTAATTTCTTTATTTATTAATTAAACGACACAAATGTAATTAACCCTCAAAAGATATGATCATCATGCGATGGCCTTAGTTTGATGACTGACCCTGCAACAATCATACGAAAACCATGTATTAATTAATGAGCAATTAATACATGACATGATGATATTAATTGGAAGAAATACTTGATGACTTACCAGATAACGTTTCTTGTACATCTGAACAACGAAATCAGGATCAACTTTGGTGTCAAGATAGGCATCAATCTTGTTCAGTTCCTCTATCCATTTTGCTACTTTTGGCCTGCCTGAACTGATGTCGTACTTGTATACCTCTTTTAAGAATATATCAACCCTTTCCACAAATGGGATATAAACGATGTCCACCAAACTCATCACTTCTCCAAGTAAAAATGGACCTTCAAACTTCTCAAGAGCTGATTCCAAGTAATCAAAAGCAGCCCCTGCAGATATCCAAATCTATATATCATCAGCTCTACGTACATTAAAAGGGTTTCATTCTTTGTGTGTGTGTGTGTATATATATATATATATATATATATATATATAGAGAGAGAGAGAGAGAGAGAGAGAGAGAGTTACCAGCTTCTTTGGCAGGATCTCCTTTAAACGAAGCGTAGGCTGTAGCAATGAAGGTGTTGGTGTATGCCAATAGATCCTCAGCAAACTCTCTTTTGGCAGCCTCCTACAAGCAGATTCATTTACACATATGTGGTTGCTTGTTACTATAATTTCAGTTATAAAAGAGGAGAATGAATTAAGATATATAGATCTCTTACTTGTGGTAGTAATGCGGGCCCTTCAAAGTGAGCATCTATGTATTTCACCATTTCTATGCTGTCTACTATGATCTTGTTGTCATCTTCAAGGCTTGGTACCTTAAAGAAACAAATATCAACAAACAGTATTAACGGGCTCAGATCTTTCCCAAACTATTATTACATACTTTCAAGAAGATTATGAAAAATACCTTATTTTCAGGGCAGACTTTCTCCTTATACCATATCGGCTTGTTAGCAAGGTCAATAGGAACAAGCTTGATCTTCTCTTGTAGTCCCTACATGAATATATACATATATATATATATATATATATAGCTGGTTCATTAAGTGATAACTAACTTATGGTAAAGCCTATACATAGATTAACAAGTTACCTTATAATTCCTGGTAATCCAAGCACGTTGTGCAACGGGGCATTGGTAGTTGAGGTATAACCTTTTTCATAAACAAAATCAAACTGTTTTTTAGATATCCTGATGATCCAAAATACATTCCGAATGCAAAATCAAACTTAATTCATCATCATCATCATATATATATATATATGATATTGTATAAAATACCTAGTTGTTCCGTCAAACACAGCAGGTGGTTCAGAAGTAGAATCCAAAGTTGGAAGAACCTCTTTCACGTTTCTACAAACCATATAGCACCAATATCAAAATTCAAATTGGAATACACACACACACACACATATATATATATATATATATAGAGAGAGAGAGAGAGAGAGAGAGAGAGAGAGAGAGATGTTCTTACGATGCTGCCATTGACAGATGGTTCGAAAATGCAAGTTGAGGACGATGGTTTCTGAGTATGACAAATTAAGGAAGAGGGATATGAGAATGAAGGGGAGTAACATGTGTATTTATAGAGGGGATATTCTGTTTGGTTTGTGTAATAAAATAATTTATTATATATAATATATTGTATAATGATAATAATAAATAATATACAATATATCATATATCGTTCGAATTTTTGTTATTATATACAAGGTAATTTATTTAATATATATTAATATAAATTATATTTAAAATGATATATTATATTATATTGATAATATATAATATAACATATTATATATGGTAATTATATTATGGGTTAAATACATGAAATAACAATCTACTTTCATAAATTTTTTATTATAATATTCTACTTTTGTTTTTCTTTATTACAACAATGTACTTTCAAATTATTTTTTATTAAAGCATCGTACTTTAAAAAATCTACCCATAATAGCAATGAATAACATGTTACCTTTTAAACAGGTTAACTCCTTGACTTTTTTTGCTTGTGTGGCTTTAATGAGGTGATGTGGATGACACATCATTTTGATGACTTAACTAAAATAAAAATAAAAACTTATTTCAAATTATTATTAGTGATTTTCATTTTTTATTGCTATGATCTAAAAAAACATTAACCACAAGGGAGGTGTCTGATTGGTTTGAGCTTGACTCCAAAGGTCAAAAGTATCTGGAGGTCTCAGGTTCAAATCCAAGGAGGAATAAAAATCCTCTTGTGGCCACGGAGGTTCAAATGCGGTGATTCCGGGCTATCTGCAAAACAGGTAATCACTCTGAGATTAGTCGGCCCGCATAGCGGGTTGAATATTATTTTTAATCAAAAAAAAACATTTAATAGTTTTTGACCTTTTCTCATTAAGTTGCATGCAAATTAAATATTCTAGAGTAAAATATTTCTTAAATAAATATGAAACATTATTTTCGAGACATATTTTGTTTGTAGAAAATATAACACTTCTTATTTTATATTGTTCAAATAAATACATATTTAAAGTTCTCTTTAAAATGTTAACGAAATAAATTATGATCTATAATTTTTTAATATTGTTATATTAATAAATAATTCAAGAAAATCTAATTAATTTAATATATTTATACGTCAAGCAAAAGTTTTTGAACAAATATAATATATTATTTAAAAAATAATATCTTTTGGTAAAAAAAAGGAACAACTCTTATTTTCTTTTAAAAAAAAACATATTTTAAAAAAAAATATTAGCAAGATAAGGTGCGTTATACAAGTTTTAATGATATTTGTATATTAGTAATTTAGAATTTTTTTAATTCATTTAATATATTTATTAAATAACATGTAAAATATCTAAATATTAAAATTAAAAATATTGTGTTTAATAAGAACTAGTAGATACTATAATAAAATAATTTTGAAGTACAATGATGTAATAAGAAAGTCACATCACCATGGTACATGTTGTCTGCCTACTTGGACAATGAGGTGGTATGAAAACCTGGTATAATGAGTAAATTTAAATTAAAAGGTTACTCAATGCTATAATGGGTAAATTTTTCAAAATACAATGTCCTAATAAAAAATAGTTTGAAAATACATTGTTGTAATAAGAAAAACTTGAAGTACAATACTATAATAAATAAATTTATGAAAGTAGATTGCTATTTTATGCATTTTGTCCTTATATTATTATTGATAACATAATATATAATATATGATATATTATTAATA